CATCTCGGCCACTCATGTTTCGATACCATCTCAATAAACTAAACATTTTTTCGTTAACTATCATTTATATAAAAAAATAATATAGATCATGTCGTGTTCTATTTTTTTTAAAATTAATGTAATTATAATTATGCAAATTAATTTTTTTTAAATCTGTGTACAGAGTACTAATCTTTAGATAAATTTAACTCAAAATGGCTTCACTCATTTTGGAGAGTCTAGATTTCACAGTCTTGCTTAGTCATTCCTCAGTAAGGTCCCCATCACTTCCAACAATAAAGGGGGGGAGGCACTTTAAAGCAAAATCTGCTTGTTTAGCCCTTTGTGTTAAATACAACTTTAATAAAAGTGAAAAAAGGTAATAATGGATTTGCGCAATTGCGCAGTTGATAAAAATGACTTATAAGACCGTGTAACTAATTTAATGGAAGCTGATTAGATCATTTGGGAGTGTGAAATAAACTTTGTGCAATTTTTGACTCACAAACTTGTAGATGAAGTTAAGAAAGAGGAAAGGAGAATAAGATCATATAAATGAGAGAATTTTTGTGTTTGAGCCAATGTATATAAGTTTGTAGTTCTGAATGACTAAGGTCATGTTCTTCACGTAATATGAATGATTCTGATATGATTGTAATAAGTTCTGGTCTGATTTAAATGTAGTTATATTTAAAGTTATTTCTAATCTGAAATGATTCCAATATGAATAAGTAATAAAACGAAGTTGAAGCGAATAGGACCAAGAGTCAAATGCTATTTTTTATAAAATAAAATATATAGAGAAATAAATTCTTTAGTTTGGGACAAACGAAAATGGAAAATATAAACTTAATAGCAATGGAATAGTCTGTGATTTATGGGGTCGATAGGATTATGAGTTAGTTACTCCTTCCGTTGATAAGTGATGCTTACATGGTCCCAAAGTCCACATTTAAAATATAGATTTCTAACATTTTTCATGGGTCTTCATGTAGATATTTTATATTTTGTAAAATGCACACTTTTTATACTTCGAATATACTAAGGTCCATAAAATGAGCATGAACCTTAAGTTCACGGAAGAATTTGTCTCTGTTGATATAGTGGCGGATCTAAAAATTAATTTTCACGAGCCTAGTCACAAAACTTTAGAGAAATGTGTGAGTTGTATTTGCTTTAAAATCTTTAAATCAAAATCAGTTCTTAGTTCCACATCTAGAATCTATTTGAGAAATATATTCTAACTACTCCCTCTATCCTAAACTAGAAAAAAACTAAAATATAATTAAAACATAGAAACTTTTGCCGAAACAGGAGTTCAGTATTTTTATTTTCAAAATAAGAGTTAAAATGTATATACTCCGTAATACCAAAATATATACTCCGTAATACCAAAAAGTAGTGGGAAATGTTTTTATATAGTGTCATATTTTCACAATTCAAACTCATATTTTAGAGATAAAACATTGAGCTCTCATTTAGATGCATTCTCTATATTTTGCTCATATTTGGCTTGTTTTTTTTTGAAATATTCTTTCCGTTTCGGTCTACGAAGTTTGACTAAAATTATTCTAAATTTAATTTATTTGATCCTGCGCATAAAATTTAAAAATAAATTTTTTATATTTAAAAACTAGATCAAAAGTTCTACAAAGTAAGAAGTGATATGGCTATACTTTTTATCACGTGATTAATACCAATAGGTAAAGAAAGTGGAAATAATAAAAGAGGAAAAATTTATAAAACAGAGGTAATGGAATTTTTAATATTATCAACTCTATTTTAATATAGAATTCGTTCAACATACTTTCTCAACCTGTTGAATTATAGAGTCAATGCGCTCGATGGGTTTCGAACAGGGGTGAGATTTCCATCTATAATTCTTGGGGTTGGCCACTCAGTTCACGATGGAAGCACATCTACTCTCTATTTAAATCTCCAAAATTTACAAATTTTGAAAACGAAAATAGCTAATAAATAGGCCAAGTGAGGTGTCCAATTTAGGCGATTATATGGATGATATGTTGCTTACCCGTTTCAGTCTCAAAAAAATTTCGTGATTTACTATTAAAAATGATGAAAATTTTTGTTTATTTATATGTTTTCAGTGGTTTTTTAATAAAATAAAATATATTTGTCAAACTTGTTGGTAAAATTTTTGACGTATTTTTAAATATATAAATTTTATTATTTTATTTTTTACAATCTTTAATTATAATAAATTGAAAAAAATTTAAAGTTTTTCTTCGCTTTGCGTATTATAGCATTCTTTTTGGGCGAAAAGTATTTGGAAATTTTAGATTTTAAATATTTTTGGGCTGGTGCAAGATGGTTATATGGGCTGTCTCTTCTTTTCTCAATGACATGACCTAGGTGAAATATTCCGTTCATTATAACGTGGACTGGCCCTTGCCGGAGTAATGGAACATAGCCCAACAATTTATGGGCCCAAAATTAAAAAAATACTCCGTATCATAGCACTTCGTTCATTCTAAAACCGAACTTATGTTTATTTTTTTAATCGAATTTAGGTTTATTTTTTAATGTACATTTTAGAAAAATTTTACTACTAGTTGAGATTTGCGGATAAAGGAGAGGTTGGAGAGAAATAATATGAATGAACTGACACCATAGTTTTCAGAACTTGACCGAATGAATTACAATACTTTTTATTAGTTTAATATAAAATAATAATAACAACATTAAAATTAATAATAATAAAAGGAACAATACTATTTCAAATTATTATAAACACGCACATACTTCTATTATGCATTCTTTACTAGTTACTACGTATCACACGTTGATAATGGTATTCTAATAAATAATATTTTGTATTCCATATATAGTCACAATATCAAACAAAATACTCCCTCCGCTCCCAAATAAACTTTCCTTGTTGACTTTCTGGAAATTAAGGAAGGGATATTTTGGTAATGATTTTCCAAAAATACCCTTGATGTGATGGATAAAAGTAAGATGTGATGGATAGATTATTAGTTAAAAAGGTATGATGAGATATGTAGAGTATGAAAAAGTAAGGGGTAAAAGTGTATTTTAAGGGAAAAGATAGTTTTTTGGGACAAAAAAAACGAAAGAAAAAGTTTATTTGGGGACGAAGGGAGTATATTTTATATATTAGTTGTTCTTGTAACGCTCCAAAACATACCCTAGAATTATTAATGAATAAATAATTAATTAATCACAATTATTTTGATTAAAATAAATTATTGTTAGGCTTTGGACTGATATAAAATTTGTTTTAACATCTAATATCAAAATCTGGATAAGTCTCATAGAGATAAATCCAATATGTGGACTATTTGTGTGGTCTTGATTGGGAACCTGAGTACACACCCAAATCAAGAGTAAATAAAGAATTTGTTTAGAATGTGAATATTGAAATGATTTGTTGAAATAAATCATTAGAACAAATGATATCAATTAAATGTGAGAAACCTTTTTGAATAAAGATCAACTAAATCAATTTTTACTCTGTCAAAGTCAAACACCCAAAAATATGATGTCAGAAAAAGTATAACCAATAAATATAAAAATTATATCGTTGGATAGAGTTTAACTGTCCGATCGCAGCGGTGCAATTGGAATTCAATTCGGAGAAAGTTGGACCAAAAAGTGTACCCCGACTGGAACCAAATTTGTCCCAATCAGGGAGTGGCGTGTAAAATCCTACAAATCGCCGCTCACTCCACTCAGCCGATTACACAGGGAAAGGAAGCAACGTAAATTTGGCTCCTTTCCCATCACCATTCCTATATAAGAGAACCCAAGCTCCTTCATTTCTTCACCAAACCTCTACATTCTTTATTCTATTCTGTTCTTTGTTGAGAGAGGAGTACAGTGGTGCTATCAATTTGGTGAGAGGTCGCCAGAGCTAACCACAAACCTCGCCGGAAGTTTCGCCGGAAAATATCCAAAACCTTCTTTAAGCTTCGAGGTAAGCCCGTAGATATATCTAGTGACTAGAATGTTCGTATAGATCGTTTCTACGTTCATAAACGGTTGTTTGGTTAAGTTTTGTGTTTGACATGTTTGAAGAACCAAGAATCATAAACCATGAAATTGATGTTAAAACTATGAATTAATGATGCCAAAATGATCTATGAACCTTGGAGAACATCTCTATATAGTTTCGTTGAAGTTCGATAACTAAAAACGGTATTTCCGAAATTGGACCCGAACGAAGAAGAAGATGAACAGTGGCTGAAACACCAATGTCTGGATCGATCCAGGGGCTTGGATCGATCCCCTCGGAGTGATTTTTCATAGTATGGATCGATCCAGAGGGCTGGATCGATCCCCCGAAGTCCTGATCCGAAAATTTACTCGAAATTGCTATTTTTGAGCTCTAAAATCCTATTTTTGATACCAATTGATTATGATTATTTTAAGGATGATTCTTTACAATAAAAATGATGTTTTTAACAAATAAAAATGTTATGTGATGCATGACGGTAAGTTCGGGTGTTAACACTCGAAACTAGACCGCTATTTGTTATCAATTGATATGTTGATTGATGATTATGATGAATGATTATTATGGATGATTATGAATGATGAACTTACTGATTAAAATTATTATTTATGATTGAACCATGAGTAAAATGAATATATTGATAATTATTAAACGATTTGTATTGTTACCGGTATCTAGAAGAACTCTACGATATACCCATTTGTTAATTGGTGTTAAGGCTATCTGAAGACCTCTAGAATAGATCTTGTATTAGAATAGACTTATGAAAACATGAATATTTGATGAATTAGATAAAAATGTATAAACGGGATTCGTAGACCAAATTAGAGGATTACTCGTTTGGGAATGTCCGATCCAATGTTGATCAATCACTATATTGTTGTTGCCTTAACCGACTACGGTTAAGTGTCTGAATTGTTTGTGTAACACCATAATCCGTCCAGGTCTGCAGCCCCTTTTGGACTAAAGTATTAACTTGGAAATCGTAAAAATTTAAAACTTTTCAAACACTTTTATTTATCACAATAATATTTTTTTTCATAACATATACAGTACGGAGTATTCAACAATATTGCGGAAGCGAATTAAAAATTGACATATCATAATTCATTTCAAAACTTGTCACATCCATCCCGACAATCTCGCCTCATCTGCCACCAGGATCACATTGTTCTTTCTGTTTACCTGCGTGTAGCAAATAAAACAGACTACATGCTCAGCGGTAAAGCTGAGTAAGCATATCTAATGCGTCGAACATCCATATAAACTGAATCTAAATTCATAATCAAATCATTTGATATTATGCACACAATGTTCACTTCAGACATTCACAGTTTTGATATTATTCAGTTCTTATCAACATATTTTATTCAATTCAGTTATTATTTCGATAGTGCTCTTAAATCGTTCTTAATCTAAGGCCAAATCATAACAACGCTCTTAACTATTCTTAGTCTAAGGCCAGATCATAACAACGCTCTTAGCGATTCTTAGTCTAAGGCTAGATCATAACAACGCTCTTAGCTATTCTTAGTCTAAGGCCAGATCATAACAACGCTCTTAGCTATTCTTAGTCTAAGGCTAGATCATAATTTCATTCTCAGACGCTTAAACTCTAATTAGTTTAAGGCAAACATTTCTCAGACGCTTAAACTATAATTAGTTTAAGGCAACAGTTCTCCGATGCTTAAACTTTAATTAGTTTAAGGCAAACAATACTCAGACGCTTAAACTATAATTAGTTTAAGGCAACAATAAGACAATAATTAATCATCATTGAGTCGAAGTATTTCCAAACGAGTGATACTCTAGTTTGGTCTACGTGTTCCGTTACATTTTTTTATCAAATCACCGAATATTCAGATTCTCACAATCCCTTCTAATCTGAGATCTATTCTAGAGGTCTTGTAGATAACCTTAATATAAATTATTTAAATGGGTATATCTTAGAGTTCTTCTAGATACTCTTAACAATACACATCATTTCATAATTATCAATATATTCATTTTTAATCATGATTTAATCATTCATAATTATTATTTTAATAAGAATATTCATCAAAGTCTGATTATAAACAACATCAATAATAATTTTAACAATATCCATTAACAAATAGCGGTCTAGCATTGAGTGTTAACACCTTAGCTTACTGTCATACATCACATAAAATTTTATTTGTCAAAACATCATTTTTATTTTATCACATGAGATTTTATTTGTCAAAACATCATTTTTATTTTTAACAATTATTTTTATATTGATCATAATTGATTGGGATACAAAATTAGGCTTTTATAGCTTCAAAAATAGCATTTTTGGACTTAAAAATGTTCGTAACGGTCGACCGTTGGGTTTGAACGGTCGTTCGTTCCGTTGGAAAGTGCAGGAAGATGAAGGGGTTACTATTCATCATCTTCAACCTCTAACCCATTTTTCTCAAGTTCCATTTTTGGTCACCAAACTTCAATTAAACTATATAGAAAATGTTCTCCAAGGTTCGTAGATCATTTTAGAGGCATCAATTCAAAGTTTTAACAACAAATTCAAGGTTTATGATTCTTGGTTCTTCACATATGTCAAACACAAAACTCAAGCAAACGACCATTTATGAACGTAAAAACGATCTATACGAACATTCTAGTCACTAGATATATCTACGGGCTTACATTAAAGTGAAACGATGATTCCGGCGGAAAAACGGAGAAACTTCCGGCAAACACCACCGCTTGCTCCGGCGACGGGAAGCTCTCCGGACAGCTTCTCTCGACTCTCTGAACTCTCCTCTAACTAATGGGATAATTTTGGTGTGAAAATGATGAAGAATGTATGGCTCTATATATAGGCGAGTTACGTTTGAAGTTTGAAGCCCTGTGATTTCCTACGTTTGATTGCCGTGAGTGGAGGAGGCGGCTGCTATTTAATTCCTTCCAGTTTAGTTTGATTAAATTACTTCAATTGGGGTACACTTTTTGGTCCAACTTTATCCAAATTAAAATCCGTTTACACCGTTGCGATGAGACAGTCAAACTCTATTTAATGATATAATTTTTATATTTATTTGAAATACTTTTTCTGACAGCATATTTTTGGGTGTTGACTTTGACAGAGTCAAAATTGAATTAATTGATATGTAATTAAAATTAGTCTCATATTCAATCAATATTATTAAATATAAATACCTTTTCTCATTTTTATACAAATTACATATTTAAAATGTCATAACTGAACTTCTGTACATCAGATGTATTCATAAAATATACCGTTGGTTTCGTCTCTTCAAGACCTATCCATAAAAATCAATCTTAACAAAAATTATTGACTCTAAAAATTCCTTCATTTTTGGTCAAACATAGAAATAATGCTTTGTTGAGTCAAAATATTGTTTCTAAAAATACTTTTATAATAGAATAACTTTTAGACTATGTTTTGGGGCGTTACAGTTTGCCTTAAACTAATGATAGTTTAAGTGTCTGATTGCCTTAACTGACTACAGTTAAGTGTCCGAAATGAATTGCCTTAAACTAATTGATGGTTTAAGTGTCTGATCAATAATTGCCTTAAAAGAATCTGGTTATGGAAGTTATGATTTGGCCTTAGACTAAGAATAGCTAAGAGCATTATTATGATTTGGCCTTAGACTAAGAATAGCTAAGAGCATTATTATGATTTGGCATTAGACTAAGAATAGCTAAGAGCATTATTATGATCTGGCCTTAGACTAAGAATAGCTAAGGGCGTTGTTATGATCTGGCCTTAGATTAAGAATAATTTAAGAGCACTATTGAAATAGTATCTGAATTGAATAAAATGTGTTGATATGAACTGAATAATATCAAAACTGTGAATGTCTGAAATGTGTGCATGATATCAAAAGATTTGATTATGAATTTAGATTCAGTTTATATGGATGTTCGACGCATTAGATATGCTTACTCAGCTTTACCGCTGAGCGTGTAGTGTGTTTTATTTGCTACACGCAGGTAAACAGAAAGATTAATGTGATCCTGGCGGCAGATGGGGCGAGATTGTCGGGATTAATGTGACAAGTTTGAAATGATTTATGATATGTCAAAATTAAATTCGCTTCCGCCAATATTGTTGAATACTCCATACTATATATGTTATGAAAAATATTATTGGGATTAATAAAGTGTGTTTGAAAAGTTTTAAATTTTTACGATTACCAAGTTAAATACTTTAGTCCGAATGGAGCTGCAGACCTGGACGGATTAGGGTGTTACAGTTCTTGAATTTACGCATTTTTATAGTTATTGTATCAAACATCTAACATTTTAACACATCGTGCGGACTGGGCCGGCCCAAAGCCCGCGGGTATCCATGCGTGCCGGGCTCAGGATTCAATTGTTAAGCCCACTCTACAGGTCGGGGCGGGCTCGGGCTTAGAAATCTCTCTTAATGTATCGTCTCGGCCCTGTCTGAAACTCGGTCCGGCCCGCACTTTGATCAGGTCTAAATAGTAATAATAATTATAATCATAATAATAATAGTAATAATAATAATAATGGTAATGATTATAATAGTAATAATACTACTAATAATAAGAATAATGATAATTTTGTTTGGAACTAATTTGATTGGACCCAATTTGATCTGGTCTAATCATATCTGATCTGATTAGATCTAATCTCATCTATTTAGATGTAATGTAATCTCGTTTGCCTAAAGCTCTAAAAGTACACATGCCTTTTGCTTACACCATAAAGAGTATATTGTGATATTTGTGACAGATTGGGAAAATGTAACCGCCAGCTAGCCTTGCATGGTAATGGGTGGCCTTTTCCAGTGGCAAACCTAACTTGATATCTCATTTTAATACTCTCTCCCTCCTAAAACTTTCTCCCCGTTTCGCAAAACGAAGAAAAATTTCAAGTTTTTTCAATCTATTTTATTTAAATATTGGTATAGAAATAAAAAATAAAACATATATATTTAAAAACTACATCAAAAGTTCAACAAAATAAGTGGTGACAAGAATATTTTATTTTATCATATAGGCCATGAAAAAACACAAATAAATATAAATTCTCGTGAAGTTGGAATAGTGCTCTGGGAAAAAAATTTTAAGATGAAGGGAGTATCAATAACCGCCATATAGGTACATTGATTCTCAAATGTGACCGGATACAATTCTCTTCCGGGAATGCTGTACACCATACCCACCCATTCTCATAATTTATCAATATTATTTTTTTATTTAATAAACTTCATATCTCAATTTATCAACATTATTTCTAATTTAATCTATTCATTGGAATGATTAGACATTATTTGGGATTCTAGATTCTATTATATATGGCTTTAATTATATTCACATATCACAACATATTAACAAAATAAGAGTAACGGTGTTCTATAAATGACTTTTGTTTTAAATAAACGGTCCAATGCAAGCAAGGTTTTCAATGCATGTTAACCCTACGGTGGATAACCCACTACATACAGATAGAGGTGGACACGGTACGGTTCCGGGACGATTCCGGTTCCGGAACTGCCGGTTCCGGTACCGCCACCCTTTGATACCGGTACCGTGACCGGACCGGATGGTACCGGTTCTGGTACCCAGACCGGACCGTACCGGTTCCGGTATCCGGATCGGCGGTTCCGGTACCGGACCGGCCAGTTTCAGCAATCTCCTTTTTTTTTGCTTTTTGCTTTAAATTATATGGGAAATTCTTGTTGTGTTTGTTAAACCAAGAAGGATGAAAATATATGTACACGGATTCCTACAAGTCAGGTTCCGCATAAGGCAAGAATATAAATTAATTATACTACTACCATATTTACAAAGTGAAAGGCTCAATATATGCTAAATCAATGGTTTCCTTGTATGCATAGCTTGCCTTCCGTAGATGAATGCTAAGTCAAAGGTTTCCATATATGCATAATTGCATATCCGTCTAAAAAGAAATGTGGAAACGGGTGAATTTCTTTATGGATTAAGCCGAGAAGGAGACCAGAGCAGATTCACTTGTTCCTTCAAACCTGGAGTTCTAAAAAGAGAGGTGGAAACCGAAACAAGCAAAAAAAAAATACAAAGGTACCAGAACTGGTATCGGTACCGCCGGTGCCGGTACCGAAATACTGGCACCGGAACTGGTACCGTAGGGGGCGGTGCCGGTACTGGTTCCCGGAACCGGTGGTACGTCCCGGCCGGCGGTGACGGTGGTCGGTACCGGCGGTACCGTTGCCGATCACGGTACCGCACCGGTACCGTGTCCACCCCTACATACATACCCAATGAAAATCCAATTTGGAGCCAATCCCATAAGTCTGAATCTACTTCCTTAGGAGTTACCCATCGTTTTTGCTACTTTAAAGCCAACACGCTTAACTCCCTGCAGCTACGCCCAAAAATGTCCATTTAAGGATCGAATTCGAGCGATAAGATTCCTCATCTCATAGTACTTTTCCCGTTTTAATTTATAATACTCCGTATTTGACTAAAAATCTAAAATTGTGTTAAACTTAATTTCTATGATTTTGCAAAAAAAAAGTTCTATGAAACATGACTCCCTCCGCCCCAAAGTTATCTTAACATATACAGAGTAACTTTTTGCAGTCACCAATACAATATTTTGAACAATTAATAAATATAATTATACACAAAGTTATAAATTTGATATTTAAAAACGTGAGTAAATTTTAAAATGAAGCCATTAATACAAAATTCATATTATAATGAAAAAAATAAATATAATTTGTGGTCAAAATTTGTAAAATTCAACCAAATATATTAAAATGTAAAAATTGTTTTACGGAGTATAAAAAAGTAAAAATATGATCTTTCAAAATTACATTTCCAAATGAATTCATTAGTATTGAATTTGTATCACAATTTAGTACTCCGGTATAATTTCTCTATAATTTGAATTGAAATTTAGAAAAATGTTAGACCATAAAAGTCAACAAATCAGGAAGAAAAATACAAAAGAAGAAGGGAGAAATGTTTATAGAGAAAAAAGGCACCCAAAATTATTTCACGTTGAAATTCAACGAATCAACATAGGCCTTGAGAGGTCCAAAAAGTTCAGAATCTTCAAACAGCGAGCAATCTTCAGAGTTTGGAATCTTCAGACAGACAGAGAGTTTATCTTCATCCAATTCATCATATGATCCACCAATTATCAGATCAGATTGCAAATTTGTTTCTCATTCATAACTACACAAACTATGAACATTTATCATTCCCATTCATTACACGAAAAATTCAGACTGCAAATAAACGCCTGAATGCAAGCAAGATGAAAAAAGTTGTGAAGAAAACAATCAATTTTCAACGCTTTAGGAGGTTTTAATGAAAGTTGATTGATTACTGTACAAGTATTAAGATCTGAGCTAAAAATCAAATCAGGACACGAATTTCTTCAGAGCTACCAGCACTGATCCGTCTCCCACTTCCTATGAGTGGATCTGAAAACGGAATATCCTCCGGCGGTAGCCGCCGCCGCCGCAGAGAGCCGAGATCGGAACAGGGAGCGGTCGTAGCTGGCGCGCTTGTCCGGATCGGAGAGAGTGGAATACGCGGCGTGAACTCTGATGAAATCCTCTGACATGCTGCCGGGCGCCACGTCGGGGTGCAAAACCCTAGCCAGTCGCCGGTACGCCGCCTTGATCTCCTGGCCGGTGGCCTCCGTCCGGATCCCCAGGACGTCGTACAGAGAACGCGCCGAGGCGACATTGGCAGTACTCTCGGCCGTCGAGCAGGAGGCGGATACGGAAACCGGACGGCGGAAGGAAACACGCCGCTGCTGCGGCGGAGGAATCACGGCGCCGAGGAATTGAGACGAGAGAGGGAACGAGGCGGTGGAAGCCATTTCGAATTCTGATTGGATCGTTGAGATTTCGTTAGGGATAGAAGATGGATGGAAACTTGTGGGTGGAGAAAAGTATGCTCTGACGGGGGCGGGTTATATATAGTCCGGGAAAGGTGACGGTGGAATGGAAGAAGAAGGTTTTTGCTTATTGGGCCTCAGTTGGACTTATCCATATGTAGGGCCCATGTCAATAATGTTCTAGATAAGAGGAAGCTACAATGTTGTGACTCAGCATTTCATCTGGAAGAAAAAAAATCCGTCGATCGTTTTAAAATTGGGCTACCATGGATTTTGGATACCATGTGCTGGTACATACAAGTATCTTAGGTAGGGCTAGACACCGTACTGATAGTCTGGTACAGTACCATTACCCGCACTGGTATCGCCGGTTCTGCCACCGTGACCAGTGATAGACATGGTTGTCCGGTTTCGATGTGATTATGATTTTTACAATATGAAGAGTTGTTTGATTTGTTTTATTTTAATTAGAAATATTTTATTTTATATTTTTTAATTACATACTGTTAGAATATAAATAATCTTTCCTGAGACATAATTACAAGCTTGAGTTTTTGGTTGAATCGGTTCCTTGACACATACTCCATATTTATTTCTTTTGTTTTACATTTACATGAATAAATACAATTCAAGAACTATTGTATTTAATGTACTCCATATTATAATGGTTATTGGAACAAAATATACTTGTTAGTTACTCCCTCCGTCCCAAAAAGAATTACACATTTACTATTACGGTTTCTCGATTATTCTTATTTGTTTGCGTGTTTTCGTTGATTATTTGATAAAATAAAATATTCTTATCAGCTTTTGTTTTGTAGACTTTTTGATGTAGTTTTTAAATTTAAATTTTTTATTTTGTATTTTTTACCAATTTGTAAGTAAAACCATTTTAAAAATCATGGGTTTTACACGTTGATCAAAATGAATAAAACATTATGGGACAGAGGGAGTATAATATAACAAGTCATGGTTGGAGAAGAGAGCAAAAAATGGTTTGTTATATCACTATTCATTTGCTAAAAAAGCAATAGCAAGCCACACTTAGCAAGCCCTTTGGAGATGCTCTAACATTCAAAATTTTATCACTCAACACCAAATTTCTTTACACTTATCAAGCCTCGTTAAACCCACGTCTAAAACTCTCATAACACATGGTCTTAGAGCATCTCCAACCGTTTCTACCAAATGTAAACCTAAAAAGAAAAAAAAACCAAATCAAACAATATTTTATTTCTAACTCATCACATCAAACTCAAACACACAAATATTTTTTCAACTTCACACAATTTTTACACTTCACTATTTTAACAAATAAAGTAATTAATGATAAACTGTATATTTTTGTGTTTTACAAAATTAATAAAATGAAATACTTAACTAGAAATTGCAAAAGCCAAAAGAAATCAACGCAAAAAAAAGACTAATACAAAAAAATGCAATGGTGATTGGGGTTGTGTTTGAGAATTGAGACACCATTAGGGGAAAGGGTATTGCAAAGTGAGGATGTACAATACTCTTGAAGAAGGTCTAAATAGTTAGTACAAAATATTTTAAGATCCTCAAATTATAGTCTATTGTACTTTCTCTATTTTGTTATAAATTTATCGATAAATGAAAATGTAAAGTCTTTGTTAGTATTATGGGGTATATGAACAATTTTTCGAACAATGTCAAATTCTTTTGTGAGATGTTTGGGAACTTAGATTTAGATTTCAAATCTGAATTTAGTTTAAATTTCATATTTAGAAAATTTAAATATAAATTTGAGTCAAATTCTTCTCATTCATAACAAAACTCAATTTGAAACTCACACACCTCACCTTGCCATTTGAAATTCAATATATCAAATTTTGGAATTAAAATGCATGAATTAAGATGAAATGTTAGTTCCCAAATACTCCGTACCATTTTGATTTTTCTTGGGACTACAAAATCCAACATGATGTGTTCCTATTTCCATTCTAAGTTTCTAACCATTAGTAAAAATAAGTTATTAAGATTTGTTTGAATAGAGAATTATGCTGAATTAAAAATGGCAAACTTTCGAACCAAATGAAATATAGACAAAATAGTGTTATTATTAAAGTAAGAGAGGGTTCCATACTTCCACTCTCGTGATATCAACAAGTAATGTGATGCATCCCGCCAACAATTTCGGCCGAATGGAAGTGACAAAGCAACGTTTATAATAATAACAACAACAACAACAACAACAATAATAATTCACTCTTGCCATAATTGTCTTCCACTTTTAACTAAACACGACGATGAAAAATAAAATTTATTTAGAAAAAAAACACAGAACTTAGCAACTATTTGCTTTTAAAAAATTAAACTTACAAAACATAGTGGGAACTAAAGATAATAAGATGTACAAGAATAAAATTCTGAAACTGTCATATTAATACTCTCTCTGTCCTTTGTCATCTAACAAATTCTCACAAGCATAGAATATAGAAAATATTACTTTAACCCCAAAAATGACACCAAGATTGACACACCAGACCCGAGACCGTCATTGTCGATAAGACCCCGACCGTGTCAACCTCGAGCCCAGAGCAGATTTGGACGAACTGTACGTTTAGCAGAGAGCCTGGAGCAGATTTGGACGACCCACAGATTGCATTTCCGCCTCCACGAACTCTTGAAATACAAAATGCTGCACACTCCAACAAGCCCTGCAATGAACCCAGCACCCAAACCAGAAAAAAACCAAACCACTTCACCATCATCATCAAGGCCTGCTGTTTCCTTTTGGGGTTCATGTGGTGGGGCTTTATCATCGCCATGGCAGCTCCCTAATGGAGGACCGCAGAGACCAATATTTCCAACGTAGGATGATTTGTCGAGGGTTTGGAGTTGGTTTCCGCGGGGAATAGGGCCAGACAAGTTGTTGTAGGACAAATCCAAGTAGCTGAGGAAGTTCAAACTGGAAATGGCAGGAGGGATCGCGCCAGAGAATTGATTTCTGGACAGGTCAAGAGATTCCAATGCTGTCATGTTGCCAATGCTTGGAGTTATCTGCCCGTTTAAGTTGTTCCTGGAGAGGTTCAGATTTTGCAGCAGCCGAAGGCCTGTTAATTCGTGAGGGATTTGTCCCGAGAGATTGTTTCTTGAGAGGTCAATGGAAAATAGAAATCGGAGTGTGTTGGAATAAAAGAGCTCTCTTCCTTTCATGTACCCGAAAACATTCTCAACATATTGAGGGTCTGCAACATTGGGGCTGTCATCTATCCCAAAATCCCACTGAGGTCCTTCAACTCCATTGACAACCATTCCGGTGAAATTGGAAAAACAAGCTGGGATTTTCCCGGACAGTTCATTGTTTGCGACATTTAATATGCGAAGAGAGGAGAGGGTGCAAAGCTTCAGAGGAACCTCGGAATTGAACCTGTTGGAATGAAGATTGAGCACCTTTAATGAAGACCAGTTCTCACCAATCCATGAAGGAATGGCCCCATCTAATGCATTCTGACTAAGATCAAGTGCGCTTAGGTAGCTCAAATTCTTCAAAGATTCTGGGATCTTTCCATGCAAGCTGTTGTTCTCTAAGTGCAAGGATTGCAGACCAGTCAAAGAACCCAAATAAGCTGGAATTGACCCACTGAAATTGTTGCTTGATAGATCTAACACTTCTAGATTCCATTGCGAACAAGTTGAAGGAAGTGTTCCTGAAAATGCAAGAATCAAAATGAATGAACGAGTGTGTAATATATGCATATAGATACAAGGCAACTAAATACCTACACAGAGAGTGTAATAAGTAATAACCATGTTTTTTTAAAAATGGATGTTTAACTCACCATATCAGTTTTATGGTAATGGAAAAATGTCATAAGTAAGCGAAAAAATGTCTGAAGTTATGAACATATACTACGGAGTATCATGTTCTTATGTGTCCAAGAATCTGTTTGATGGCTTCAATTTTTTTGGTTTCCCAGAGTTGTTTGGCAGTGGATTCCCTAACATTTAGTGGTCTCTGCGAATACTTGCAATCCCTGGGATAGCTAGATTCTTATCATTGAAAGCTTTAAGCTACCATATTTATTTACAGAATTTGCTTTGGCATTCACAATTTTGCCCTTCTGGTTCACAAGAGCTACAATATGGTTTGCAGCACAATCCACATGACTTCCACCTTTTATAGTTTTATAGTTGCAAAGATATGGAAGAAATCAATACAGTTAAATATAGGATATTCTCTTAATACCTGATAGTTGATTGTCTGACAAATCAAGGATAGTTAAACTCCGTATCTTGCAAAAAGAAGCTGGCATGCTTCCATTGAGACGGTTGCCTGAGATGCGCAAATATTGCAGGTTTGGCATTGTGGCACCAATATTTTGTGGAATTACGCCGTGTATCATGTTATTGGAAATGTCAAGCATGTTTATATCAGACGGGAGGTGAGGTAAAGGGCCCTGAAAACGGTTGGAGTTCAAAAAGATGCACCTAAATGGATCAAGAGCTGAATAGTTTCTCAACTTGGGCAAGTTTCCCGTAATAAGGTTGTGGGAGAGATCTAACCATTGAATGCCAGAAGAAATGTCTCCGAACCAACTTGGTATGCTACTAGAAATGCTAGCATTTGACATCATCAAGACTGTAATGTTTACCTGTTCCTTTAGCCACAGAGGGAATTTGGGCCCTACTTTGGTAGATGATAGCAAAACAAGTTCGAGTTGAAAAGGTGGGACCCATGCAGGATCAATGTCAAAACTCAACAATGAATTCCGATGAATGCTTAATCGTCTCAAGCTCCTAAGGTTTGACAAGTGAAGCTCAGTTACTACACCACCCAATGAGTTGTTACCAAGGTCTAGAATTTGAAGGCTGGAAAGCTGTCCGAGACTTTTTGGAACGCTTCCATTCAAAAGGTTATCAGCAAGGTGCACTTCCTTTAAACGTGAAAGTCTCCCAATCGATGTTGGGATTGGACCTCCGATTGAATTACCAGAAAGGGCCAAAAATTCCAGGTTTTTCATCCGCCCTAAACCATTTGGTAGACTGCCTTGAATAGAGTTTTGAAAAGCATTAAATATCTTGAGTTGTTCAAAGTCGCCTAACTGATTTGGAAGACTCCCGCTTAAACTATTGCTTTCCAGAGTCACGGACTCCAAACTTCTTTGGATGCAACCAAATGGGTTGCCAAATAATGTTGATATACCGCCCACAAAATTGTTATAATCTAAATCGAGTTCGCGCAAGTTACATAGGCCACTCAACTCCACGGGTATTTCTCCCGCTAGATGATTGCTAGACAGGACTAGAACTGAAAGCAACTTCAGATTGCCAATCTCCCTGGGGATGGACCCATGAAGATAACAATAACTTAGGTCAAGATGCTCAATGCTGCTAATGTTAAACAGCCATGATGGGAGGGTGGAGTTGAAGTTATTCGAATCAAGGATGAGAGTCGAGAGCGATGTAAGGTTACCTTTTGAAATGTGGGGAGGGGTGAGCGGGAGTTTGCAACCAGATAAGCGCAACTCAGACAGAGATGGGATCCTACTAAGATCACGTAACCAGTTGCTGGCATTGGCAAGGTCAACACTTGACATGTCTAAATATTTCAAGGAAGAAAGCATGGATAAGAAGAAGAGGCCGGTTTCAGCTCTCAACAGTTCCGAACGAAGATCAAGATACTGCAAGTTTGAAAGATTGCCAAGACTGTGGGGGATGTTGCCCATGAACCTAGAAGAAGAGAGGTTGAGATATCTCAGCTGAGCTAAAGAACCGATAAAGTTGGGAATTCGGGCTCCTGAAAAATCATTCGTGCTGAGGTCCAGGTAACCGAGACGAGTCAAATTGAGTAGAGAACTGCTAATCTCTCCTCCCACTAACCCCGAGCTGGTTTCATCTCTATTCCTGAGGTCCAGCTTAACGATATTACCGGTTATGTTGTCACATGTAACGCCGTTCCATCTGCAGCAATTGTCTCCACTCCAAGAAGATAACCGGTTCGAGTCATCCACGAGGCCTTGCTTGAACTCCAAAAGAGCCAATCTCTCACTCGCGATGCACCCCGCGGTCGAACCAGCTCCACTGCAGCAGCTGATAGTAAGATTTCCCATCACAAATAACAGCAAAACAAGGATCCCAAGCATGTTATTGCCAGAGATTTCCATATGCAGAGAACAGAGTAACAATTCAGTTCTTGTTTAGAAGAAGATGGTGATATCAAACAAATCAATTTCATTTGCCAATGAAGAATCAATTCAAGCCAGGTGAAGAAGAGTTTGGCCTCAAACTAAAGACCAGGTCATAATGTTAGGTAGAAGTAACCGTGTTCTTCAACGGTTGAATTGTGATAATTAATGGTGTTCTTATTGGTCCAAATAATAATAATAATAATAATAATAATAATAATAATAATAATAATAATAATAATAATAATCCAGAACTAGATGTAATTAGAGATCCTTGCGAAATGCACAAGCTTAAAGGTAATATACCACACATGAGGATATATATACAGATTGTGAAAGAAGAATTGAGAAGTCAGTGATTGAAATTACTTACCTTTTAAACTTCTATGTACATGAAAAGTAGAGAGGTAAATGTATGAACCCTAGTTGGCCGGGGAAAAAAAAAGTAATGCACGGGAACCTGGGCGTGTGTCTCTTTAGATGGAAATTGGTGCCGGTTTCGGCTGCGGCTGCGAACAAGGCGGAAGCAGGGGGTGAGGCGGCTGGGGGAGTTTATTTTCAGTGGAGTTTAAGTTTTATTGGTATGATCTAATCTGTTTAAAGTTTTGATCTAATTTGATCTTATTGAATCTAATTTTTATGGAGAGTTGACAATGGGATGAAAATGTCCAAACTGCCCTTTTCTTTAGCCACTAATCCCACTATTACCACCCTCACCAGCCTTCTGTCATTTTCTTCCATCATCTCCGTCCAATCTCGCTACCGCCGCAGGCCCCTCTTTACCGCCGCCGGCCCCCTTTTACCGCCACCCCCACCATCGCCAACCCCCTCCGCCATATCCGGTCCCACCACCACCGCCTGACAGCCCCACCACTACCTTAGTCCCCACCGGCCACCACAATTGTGGTCTGCCCTAATTAGAACTACAATAACTGAGTACAACTCACCATCTTTGCCCACCCGAGCACTATCACCGCAACTCATACCATTGCATCAGTCACTGCCATCGCTAGTCCTACCCAACCGCCGCCGCCATTGCCATATCAAGAATAGATCTGTCCAAACCTGGCAAATCTGGAAGACAAATAAACAGGAGACAAGAGAAGGGGCTGGAGGAGGACGAGCGAATCTGGAGAAAGAATAAGAGGAAAGGAAGGAGACAAAGGAAGAGGAGCAGATCTTGAGAGGAAAAAAAAGAGGCGTGAAAGAATATGGGGGGGAGAAGAAGAAGAAGGGAAAGTGAGAAATAGAAGAGCAGAGACAAGGCCAAGAAATGAGGGAGGCGAGAGAGGGTGATAAATGAGTGGGGGTATTTTGGGTAGTTTGTGTATGAAAAATTGAAATGGGAAGATTATTTCCGGACGAAGAAAAAGGAGAAACGGGAAGATTATTTTCGGACGAAGGGAGTAATAATAACAATATAATACTCTCTCCGTCGTTCACAAATAAACTTTATATTTATTATTCACAGGATCAAATTTTATTTAATTTGTTGGCCCATTTTCGTCACCTAATACATTTATATAGTCATGTCACCTTTAGTTTGGTAGATTTTTTGATATAGTTTTTTAATATCTAATATTTATTTTTCAATCTTATACCATTTTTCATATAAAATAATTTGAACATTTTGGTATGAACTTTCTACTAATACTTCTTCCTTGCACCAATACACTTTATCTCAATATTTCATCTCTTATTGTGTGTAAATTTCTATACATCGAAGCTCTTTATTTTTTGTGTAAACTCCAATTTGTAATTAAATTACCCCATTTGTAATCGTATAAAACATTGTGCCAATGCAAGATATGGAATGTGTTCTTCTCACGTACAAGAATTATAAGTATGATTCATTTTACATTTGCAAATTTCTCAAAGTACTTCTTTCTTAAAATTATTTTCTTTATTTAACCTAACTCTAATAGTTGTCGCCATGGATCTTCAACCATGGCAATATGGCATATTGGCATCTTCAGAGCCGAGTTCCAACGTCCGTGAGAAGAAAGTTTTGACAAGGAGACATCATAACTTAGATCAACGTTAGGGTAAAAATTGATTTATATTTTATACCATTATCGAAATGAATTACATGAGTGCTTGGTAATTTGTATGCAAAAATAGGTTGGACACGTGGGGGTTCATCCGCTTTCCGCGCTAAGTCAGTTATACGGGCCCATGTCCTTCAAATGCTGAAATATCTCTTTCCGCCATCGTTGTATTCCCTCTTTCTCTCCGTACCCCATCATTCGTCCCCATAATTATTCCGATTATCCATCTCCGTTAGTCGCCGTCGGAGGAGGCGTTTTCCGATCGAGGAGGGATTCGATCATGAGAGAGATCTTACACATTCAGGGAGGGCAATGCGGGAACCAAATCGGCTCCAAATTCTGGGAAGTCATCTGCGACGAGCACGGCATTGACACCACCGGCCGTTACAAGGGCGGCGACGCCAATTCTCCCGGCGACCTCCAACTCGAGCGCATCGATGTCTACTTCAACGAGGCTCCCGGCGGCCGCTACGTTCCGCGCGCGGTCCTCATGGATCTGGAGCCTGGAACCATGGATAGCATTCGAGCCGGACCCAACGGCCAGATCTTCCGACCTGATAACTTCGTTTTCGGGCAGAACGGTGCCGGAAATAACTGGGCCAAGGGGCATTACACGGAAGGAGCTGAGCTTATCGATTCCGTTCTAGACGTCGTTCGTAAGGAGGTTGAGAGCTGCGATTGTCTGCAAGGTAAAATTTCGATTTCTTCATTTAATGTGTGATTCATAAGCAAATTTCTTCGTTCTCTCAATACAATAACCGGTGAAGATGCATATATTTATACGCACATTTCTTCTTCATTCTCAATATAATGAGTAGTTTTGCATGGTAGAGGAGTTTTCAATTTTAATTTGCAATCCGATCTTCTGGTTGAAATTTATATATATTGTTTTTTAATTCATCTAAACAAGCTTTTCTGGTTCAGTTATGGATCCATCTAGTTTTCCAGATTCGAATTAATGATCTGGATAATCCATTTCCTGTTAGATAGTGTTCCGTTTTAAAATAAATTTCATGGTTTGATTTGAGTTTGAGAACAAGGTTCAAAAATGACAAATGTATTGCTCCCTCCCTCCGTAAATCTTTTTCTCATTTGACTTTTCACGGTCTCCTATGTTGCACTTTGACAATTTATATCTATAATTATACATAGATATATTTTATAAAACTCTGATACTTAAATTCATATCATAATGACAGAATATTTTTTCCACGTATCGGAATCAAAGTTTACAAAATTTAACCAAGAAAAGTCAAATGGATATAAGTAATTCTCTGTAATTTCAGCCCCAACTGCAATTATATGATATCCACATATTCAAACACTTCGCTTAAGTTCAAGCATTCCAAATCTTAACCAAACAGACTCTCTGGTTGTGTGCTGTTCCATTGCAACTGCATAATTGTGCAGGTTTCCAGGTTTGCCACTCACTGGGGGGTGGGACTGGTTCTGGGATGGGAACTCTGTTGATCTCCAAGATAAGGGAGGAGTACCCTGACAGAATGATGCTCACATTCTCTGTCTTCCCATCACCCAAAGTCTCTGACACTGTTGTGGAGCCATACAATGCCACACTATCTGTCCATCAACTGGTGGAGAATGGGGATGAGTGCATGGTCCTTGACAATGAAGCCCTCTATGACATCTGTTTCAGAACCTTGAAGCTCAGCACTCCAAGCTGTGAGTACACTGACTCTTTCTGTTTCACTCATTGCTCCCTCAACTTAAGAGCGTGTTTGGTTGGGTGTCAAATTGGCCCTAGTTTAACCTTGGACATGGGAGGCCCGGAGGGTGTGCAAAGTGACCAACCGCACAGGGCACCTTAAGATTTAAGGCACCCTATTTTTAAATTTGTTAATAATTTTTAAGCAAAAACATTCTAAAAATATAAAATAGGGCACAAAATGTAAATTTTGGACCGGACCAATTTTATTTTTTCATTTTTCGGGGCCGGCGCTGACCTTGGGTGTGATTTTTTTTTTTTCCCACCACACAGTTGGTGACCTGAACCATCTGATATCTGGAACCATGAGTGGGGTAACCTGCTGCCTGAGGTTCCCAGGGCAGCTGAACTCCGACCTGCGAAAGCTGGCGGTGAACCTCATCCCGTTCCCGCGCCTCCACTTCTTCATGGTGGGGTTCGCGCCCCTCACCTCCCGGGGGTCCCAGCAGTACACCTCCCTCACCGTCCCGGAACTCACCCAGCAGATGTGGGACTCCAAGAACATGATGTGCGCCGCCGACCCCCGGCACGGCCGCTACCTGGCGGCCTCCGCCATGTTCCGCGGCCGGATGAGCACCAAGGAGGTGGACGAGCAGATGATCAACGTCCAGAACAGGAACTCCTCCTACTTCGTGGAGTGGATCCCCAACAACGTCAAGTCGAGCGTGTGCGACATCCCCCCCACCGGGCTGAGGATGTCGTCCACCTTCGTGGGGAACTCCACCTCCATCCAGGAGATGTTCCGGCGAGTGAGCGAGCAGTTCACGGCCATGTTCCGGCGCAAGGCGTTCTTGCACTGGTACACCGGGGAAGGGATGGACGAGATGGAGTTCACCGAGGCGGAGAGCAACATGAATGATCTGGTGGCGGAGTACCAGCAGTACCAAGACGCCACTGCCGATGAGGATGACGACGACAATGATGGGTACGACCAGGGCGGCGGCGGCGGCGCTGCTGGTGGTGAAGAACACGACGACTGAGAATCATGATATATTGATATGAATCCAAACCTATTCTTTTTCGAGAACATCAATCAACATATGTTATACGTAATACGATCTACACATCTTTCTGCATTAAAAACTAAACAAAACAATGTACTCCTGTCCTAAAATGTTCTTCCCACTCACTTTTTACCCGGTCAAACTTTAATCACTTTCTTTACCTATTTTCATTAGGTATTTGATAAAATAATATAATCTTGTCACCACTTGTTTTGTAGAACTTTTGATGTAGTTTTTAAATATATAAATTTTATTTTTTAATTTTACACCTACAATCAAATAAATTGAATCGAAAATAAAGTTGGTCAAACCTCGTAAAATGAACCGAGAAGAACATTATAGGACGGAGGGAGTAATCTGTTTGCTTATTAGCACTTCATTCTCTTGATTAACTACGTGCTTCTAATGAAACTGGCACAATGTAACTCAGCCACAATAAAACTTACTTACAATGTGACATAAATCTCAGAAGAAGCCAAACAAACACTGAATTAGGATAAACCTGCTTCATTATGTGGTAGCACCCTTCCAACGTCTTAAACACATAATCCCTCATCCCATAAAATGTTACTCATTTTGACTAAAGTTGAAATTAAGAGAGTGATAATTTTGTGTTGACTTTCCAAAAATACCCTTGATGTGATGGGTAAAAATAGGATGCGATGTGTAGATTATTGGAAAAAAGTATGATGTGGTAGATAGGATTTGAAAAAGTAAGGGGTAAGTGATTTTTTTAATAGAAATGGGTAAAGGATTGTGATACGCAATTTTTTTGAAACGTGTAAATCTTTTTGGGAGGGAGGGAGTATCCTCCTTTCCTTGGAATAATAGTCAAAGTAAAGAAGGACATTCTTGCCCTTGAGCTCAGACACATGCAAGGCAAATGGAGGTCCTTGGAGGCGGAGGGCAATATTGTGAACATTCAATATGGCAGACTCATCACAGAGACTCAAGGATGGTTGATCTCAGACGGGACAACAATTTCTGATCAACAAAACTATATCTCGTGAAGAGATATCCCTCAACCCCTAAATTATGTAAGAGACCTCTCCCATTGAGTTCCCCAGCTTTGGTAGCCCCATCCAAAACAAACAACTCATCAGACCAGTTATGGTTACACATTACCCCATTGCCTCCTGCTTATTTCACAGTTGTAAGGAGCAACCACCAAGATGATATATATCTTCAGCGCCATCATCCCAAGCTTGGCATCGTGGACAAAGGAGGTGAAGTCCCCAAAAAAGGGTAGAAATACCAGCACTACCTCAAACTCCAAACCTTGAGCCACGCATTGCTGGTGGACCTTGAAAAGCTCGGCCTTGAACTTCCCCGTCAATACAGAGGTACACGTCTGGACCCTGCCTGCCATAACCCCTACGATCGGCGTCCGGTCGTCGGCGAATGATCCCGGCGGGTAGGTTATCTCTCTCGACCTGCTATCTGCCGCTCTCTCCGAGTCGAGATCTGCGGATTGTCCCGGCGGCTTTCTGACCTAAAATATGGAAGGCCCAAAATGAAGTGCCCGTCTTCTGGTCCGACCTAAAAAGTATGAAATGCTCATACTAAAACGCTATTTCATTTTACAATAGATCATTTAACACTTATTTTAAATTAAATAATTAAACAATAAACATCATTAAAATAATAAAAATTTACTTCAAACTATTTTTATTACGGAGTATTAGACTTCAAATAATTAAAAATCTTATTACTAATATAAATCTATAGATTCTTTAAAAAGACATGAATTTTTTTCTGTCCATGCATGACACTCATATATGGAAAGTGTTGACAACATAAATGGTGGTTTAAGTATGTTTTCATTTTTATTTAAATGTTACACCATTTAAGTATTTAAATTAAATTAAATAGTAGTGAACCATTGGAGAATTGAAGTTTGGAAATAAAATATGGGCTGGATTAAAATGATTTATTTCAAACAAACTAAAAATTAATTATTTATCATTAAAAAATATTATAATTTACAAGTACAAACGCGTAAAAATGGTAAGTTTTCTAAAATAGATTATAAAATAAATATGGTACAGTAAGTAGATGATAACATTTAAATAAAAGAATAAAATAAAAAACTACAAATTAATATTAATACTATAATTTAAAAGAATGGAAACATTTTAAAAATGACAAATGTTTTAATTAGAAAATAAATAGACATGTTATGTTAAGCAATTAGCACTATTTAAAAACAAAAATAAGGGGCGGGGGACTAAAATTTCCTTGTAGACCTTAGGAATATAATGAGAGTAATTTACTTAAATAGAATTAAAATATAATGATTTTCTCAATATAGGATCATATGTTTTTATTTTCCAATGTAAGACAATTATTCATTATATCTTAGTCATTATTTAACTAAATGTTCAACATCACTTGGACATTATTTTTTTAACTAGTCATTATTAAATCTTATTTAGTGAATAAAAAAGTTTAAGTTTTTCATTGGGAAATGAGTTATGTTTAAATCATATTCAGGGCAAATTTCACATATAATGGAACAATTAATTGAAATAAAGACTCTAACAATAGTAAAAAAAGGCCTCTAACAAAAAAACCATTTTCGGAGCATTCAAAGAAAAATTGAAATAAAAGGTTGCATTAAAATATCATACTCCTCCGTCCCTAAATAGATTACAATCTTTTTTTTTTCTCTTTTCGATAACTTTTGTTTGTTTACGCGATTTCATCAAGTATTTGATTAAATAAAATATTTTTGTCACATTTTGTTTTGTAGAATTTTTGACGTAGTTTTTTAATATGTAATTTTTATAACTTATTGATATACCAATTTGTAAATAAAATAATTTCAAAAAATAGAAAATTTTACTCCGTAACCCGCAATTTGTAATCAAATTGGGGACGGGGTTAGTATGTGACATTATACCCAATAATTTCTTCTCCTCACGAGCAAATTTTCCTCTACTCGCTCTAATTATTCACCTTTGCCATTTACGCAATTCTTTTCTCATTTACCCTTGGGAAATGAATACGAAGTAAGTAAAATGTAATACCTGCTGCTAATGAAACTTAGGAGGCGTTTGGTTCATACTGAGGAAAGGGAAAAGAAACAAGAAAGGAAATTAGGGGGAAAGAGAATGATTACCCCTAAATTACTCTACGTGTTTGGTTCACTTTTAAAGATCAATAATGAGTTTAAAAAAATTAGATTAATAATTTATATGGCTCGTTATTTTAGATTAATAAGAGCAACATAGTGTTTTTTTAGTTAATCTAAATCGAGGTAAAATATCAATATTTTTATTTAAAACTTAATTACACTACTACATTATGATAAAGAAAAAAAATGACCCAAAAAATGTCTCAGAAAAGGGAGAAAAGACCAAACTAGGACTAAAACATTGAGAATATATACCAAAATAGGACTTTCATGTTTTTATTCCCGAAATATGACTTACATTACCAAACATGGTCATATACATTACTAAAAAAGTATAGTAATTTGCACATGTACACTGCCACATTACCACAATGCAAAGTCACAATACCACAGTGTCAAGTCCTCTTCCGGGAAAAAAAACATGAAACTCATATTTTGATACTTTTCTCTATGTTTTAGTTCTATTTAGAATGATTTCTACTCAGAAAACAAAGTTGGCACACCAAAGAATTTAAATCTATCCATATTTTAAAGGTCATATATATTACAGCTCCCTCCTTCCCAGAGTATTTGTCCACTTTCATTTTTACACACCATCCAATACACTTCTTTAATCCATTTTATCTTGTAATTTGTATATTAAAAAATTATAGAAATTATATATTAATAATCTATATGTTAAGACAAATCAAAGAAGATCACACGTGATTATATTTAGGCTTACACATTGAGAGAATTTGATAAGTCAAAGTACTTAGATGAACAGTTCCAAAACTCAAAAGTGGACGAATATAGCGGGACGGAGGTAGTATATATTTAAATATACACCATAGTTTTTTTTTACCTTTAAAAAAATGATTGAGGAATTACCCAGACACCTACCGTGCTTCGTTGATATTTGATGGTTCCAATAAGCCTCTTGCATGGGAGAGTGCAAGAAACATATAAACCTACACAACAAATGAACGGCGTGGCAAATTGGCACTCAAGCCCCAATGACTTGATGCAAAACATAGCAGTGGACAAATACATGGGACAAAGAAAGTATTATTTAAAATATAGCAGTGGCCATTGGGCATCTGACCCCAGATTTTTGGTGAAAGGGTCGTTGGACGAAGAAGTCTTCGACCGCTTAGACAAACGATAGGGTGTCGTTTCTTTCTAGCATTGATTGGCACGCTCAGATCTTTAGATTGAAGGAAAGAGGATTTTTGGGATTCGTGTTTTGATCAGCAATGTAAAACTTGTGGGAAAAAAATATCACAAAAATTGAGACTGAAAAAGTGGTTGTGTTTGAAAATGATTAAAAATTAGGTCTCGTTTGGTACATGAAATTCAAACTATAGAATTAGAGTTGTGGATTTCAATTCCAATTCTGGTGTTTGGTAGCACAAAAATTATGTGAATTTAGAATTGATAGTGCAAAAAATGAATTGGAATTGACAAAATTCAGGACGAACACCTCATACCCCACCGCACGTTCCCCGGGCACCGCCGAGGAAGACCACCTCCTGGGCAACGCCGCTTCCCAAGATGCACCTGTGGGCATGGCCACCGCTGAAGGTAAATCGCTGAAAGGCTGGCCGTTGATGAGGAAGTTCAAGTAATCAAAGGACAGAGAACTCAAGCACTCTTCCACACTACAACCACTACTCATCATCGATCATCCAAATTAATTAAGGATCGATGTTTTTTTTCTTGTGTGTGTATGTCGCTAGTTGTCTAATTGCTACTGCCCATGAGGACGATAATGATTGGTACGACCAAGGTGGCAGCGGCTCTGCTGATGGCGAAGAACACGATGACTACTAAATCATGAAATGAATTCAAACTTCTCTTTTTCAGAACATCAACGTACATACATACGTAATACATTCTATCTTTCTGCATTAAAAGCTAAACTAAACAATGAAATCTGTTTGGCTTAGAGCTTCATTCTCTCCATGAACTACGTGTGCTTATAATGTAACCCCGGGGCTATTGAACTTCACTTGCAATGAAAGTTAAGTTTAAATATCGGCACAAGCCAAACAGAACACTGAGATAATTAAACAAGCTAATAAGGATACCGAAAGTCATACCACTTTAGTTTGTTACGTTCCAATAATATAATACATAAATACTGAAGAGGATATCACCCTCAATAAAACTACTTACTCGCACTGAATGACATAAACAGCAGCAGCAGCAGCACCAGAATCAAAACAAAAACAACCGCTTCACGCAAATCATCAATAAATCAATCAGTCCTCAGATAATAACTCGCTTACTCTAGAAAGAACCTCTTCACGCAAATCGTCAGCAAACAATGAATCACTGACCGCACCATTATCTAGGTGATACTGAGCATTCCAACAGCAAAGTCGACCATCCTTCCCGAATGCAAGGATGTTAGGCTCCACCCATCTATACCACCAAATCTTCTTGATTACTGAGTCAGCTGCAGAATGGTGCAAAGTCAGCCATGGCATCTTGGGGGCACTCTTGGCAAACTCTTTAAGGGGAACAAACAACACTTTTGAATTAGGATAAACCTGCTTCATTCTGTCGTAGCACCCTTCCAACTTCTTAAGCACATATCCTCCTTCCATGTTGGAATAATAGTCAAAGTAAAGAAGGACCTTCTTGCCCTTGAGCTCAGACACATGCAACGCAAATGGAGGCCCTTGGTCGCGGAGGACAATATTGTGAACACCCTCGGTGGACACATCAAACAGCGACTCTATGGTGGTAGACCTCAGACGGGACAACAATTTCTCAACAAGATTATAACTCGTGAAGGGATATCCCTCCACCCCTAAATTATTCATGAGACCTCTTCCATTGAGTTCCCCAGCTTTGGTAGCCCCATCCAAAACTAACAACTTGTCAGACCACTCATAGTCACACATTCCCCATAGCCTCCGGCTTATTTCGTCGTTGTAAGAAGCGACCCACCAAGATGATATCTTGAGCGCATTCATGCCAAGCTTGGCATTGTGGACAAAGGAGGTGAAGTCCCCAAAAAAGGGTAGAAATACCAGCACTACCTCCAACTCCAAACCTTGAGCCACACATTGTTGGTGGACCTTGAAAAGTTCGGCCATGAACGAACCATCAATGCAGAGGTACACTCCCACCAACCTCTTACAACTCAATTCCGATACGGATACCGCCACCTTGGCATTGTCATTGTCATCCCGCCCAGTAGTAGTATGGCTGCAAGGCCGAAGAACGTGCTGGTCGTTGCGGCTACCACTACATTTCTGGAGAACCTTCTTGTTGCTGTTAGCACTACACCTTTTAAGGACAAGCTGGTTCCCGTTGCCATCGCCAACAAAACACATTTTTTTATCCTCCCAGTCAGCAGTACACTTCCAGAGCAGGTCAGAGGGATGGCAGCCTAAGAGGTCAACAAGCGAAAGGGGTGTGCGGGAGGCCTTCACTTGGTCAATTTGATCCTTAGGGGTGGAAAATTCCATGTGAATAGGGTCCATCCTGATCTTCATTCCCTCCCGTTCAACTGAAAGGGCTTCAACCCTGGACTGTGTGAAGGGAAAGTAACGAGATCCATACCAGAGGAAAAACGGGTCAGCCATGCCGCTTTGCCTCACCACCACCTCTTTATCATCCACAATAAGAACGTCCATAAAGCTATCCGGTCTGGTCAAGCCGAGAGAACTGCAAATGAAGTCACGAGAACGGGAGTCGGAGAAAGGGACGGCAAGGCAAGGGAAGGCAGAGAAGAAACGATTGAAGGCAGCCTCTTCGTCCTCTTTGCTTGAGAAATCGGCCTGGTCTCTCATCCGGGCAACCATGATCATCTCAAAATCATGTAGCTCGCACAACTTGGGGTAAGAATCTATCATGGCGCGACAAACTCGAGCATCGTCGTCATCACTGATATTGGGCAAAGGCAGCAAGAAAGCGCAGATGACGAGGTGCTTACCACGTAGACTCGTGACAGGGACACGTTCCCCACTGAAGCGCACCAGGAAGTCCCTCTTCTCCTTCGTCTTCTTGTTTTTTCTGGAACACAAGAAGGATTCAACGCCGCCGGGGAGGGACTTGTTTTGCTCGATCACAATGGGCTTCCTCTTCATGTGAGGAGGATAAATAGGGGCCTTGTCCTCCTCATCCTCCTCCTCCTCCTCCTTTGCCTCACTGCGCTTGACTTTCTTGTTAGGAGGGCCTGCGGTTTCCAAAGCTCTCATTCTGTCATTGTTGATGGCATCAATCAAACGTGCAGTCGCAGCAGCAGCAGCACCCACTCTTTTCTCTTCCTCCATCTCTTTTGCTCTTCTCAGCGTACTCTCAATGCGGAAACTGGGCCAGGGGCTGGGAAAATCGTCCTCATCCAGCAATGCCATCCCTAACCTTCAACACATTATAATCAAGTCAAAATAATATGCCTTACTGTATTAGCATAATCAAATTAAAAGAGCAAAAAAACAATATTGACGCAATCATATATTATCAAAGTAGAACATCAGGCTCAATTTTAGCACAAACAAATAAAATACAAATTGAATGGCGAGCCCCAGCAGTAACAACACAACACCTAACGCAATTTCACCAAGCCAACAAAACAAAACAAAAGCTGAAACAAATCAGCATCGGGCTGAATTTTAGCACAAACAAATGAAATAAACAAAAACAGCAACAAGAGAAACACGAATTCAGTTATAGCCAGCAAAACAAAACAAAACAAAACAAAAAGCTGAAATCAAAGTGAAAGATTAAGGTGTGAACTTAACAGAAACACGAAGGAAAAAAACTGAATTGCTAGATCTATGCGTAACATATTTACATCCGATCCCCAACAAGCGGCAGATTGCTGGCACAACAAAAAAAACCGTACCTTTGATTCTCTCTTGGCTGTGGTTGTTAGGGTAGACCGAAAGAATGGCTGCAGTTTTGGTTTTGGTGTTAGGGGATATGAAGAAACCGAATAATCCCAACTCATTCACGACTAAGGCCTCGCCCAGGCCCAACCGACCTAGCTCCGTTAATTATTTTCTCTATTTTTTTTCTTCATGTTTTCCTTTTTATTTAATTTAAAAGTTACCAAAATAAAACTGAAAAAAACTGGTTAAATAAAATTAATTTATGCAGTGTATAACAAATATTTTATTATAAATAATCCAGAAATGTGGACTGAGCCTCATATTATTTCCATCAAGTAATAAGTTGAAAAATAATTTAAACACAAGGGACGCATAGTATTTTAGGTGATGTAGTCATTATAACATCAGTTAAACGAAATGAGTTCAAATATGTGTGTCTCTCTTTTGTCTCAAACTTAATTGTATTATTCATTCCAAAACTTTGGTTAATACAATAAAATATTCTCGTTGCATTTTATTTTGCAAATCATTTTACATTTTTTAATATGCAAAATGTACTGTGCTTTCTCTGTCCTAGAGAATTCATATAGTTTGACTTTTTTGTTAAATTTGATTAAATTTAAATGCCAATTACATTAAATATGCATGGTATATTTTTAAAAAAGAAATAAATTTCAAAAACAAAAATAACAAGATTAATCTAATACGGAGTAAAAGTTAATTTTATTTATGTATCTTATGCATGTTTAATTCAATTGATGATTAAATTTTATTCAGTATGACATCAAAAAGTCAATTTAAATGAATATTCTGACATAGAGATAGTAATTTTCCATTCAATTCCAAATTGTAAATGAAGTATATATACAAGATTTTTGATTTTGTAATTGTTTAAAAAATTAAAATCAAAATGAAGAAATTAAACAAAAAAGAGAAAAAAAAGGAAAACAAAATACTACTCGGTATAAATATAGGGGGATGCAAGGATTCATCAAAAGTGTATCCCAAATGTCACGCACTCCCTCCATAACCATTTATTTTTATTTAATTTTTATTTACTTAATTTTTTGAATTTTCTTGCCTATTTTTGTGGACAAGGAAGGAGTGAGGAACATTTGGGGTACACTTTTGGTATACCAAAGTATATACGGATAATAAAAAAATCCAATTTTTTGTGGAGCGCGTAACCCCGTGTGCCTCTAAGTGGGTCCGGTCCGCTCCTACTATGTTTGGTTAGGGATTTTTGGCTGCACTTTATATCAATTATTTTTTACTCAATAAAATTTGTTTTTCTCTAGGAGCATATTTTCCCCTATATGCTCTAATCTTTTACAAACTAAAATGAACGAATGATAATAAAATGGTGTTTGAAAATACTTGCTAATATTTTTATATTCATCTATAAAAATGAAAATTTGAATAAAAGTATAATCTAAACGCCATAAAAATTAAACCAAATTTTCAAAATAAATTTATAATTTAAAGAATAAATATAAAATATTATAATTTTTGTAATCTATTTATATATAGTTTGGTTCGGGATATTCTCTATGGAAAGTTCCTTCGTACTGTATCATTGTTCGATTCTACGCGATTTCATTTTTTTGCATACATTATTTCATTTAGTTTTTACTCTCCGGTCCAAAAAACATTTCATGTTTTAATTTTTTTGTCAAACCATTACAATCTTTGAGCATAAATTAAAATTATATACTTAGATGAACCCAATAGTATTGAATTTATATTATAGTTTAATATATTTTTCTCACAATTTACGGTCAAAAGAATGTAAAAAAACGGAGTAATACAATACCACATGATTTAGTTTCCGTAACTAGTTTTTAATAATTATTGAAGAGATTATTATTATATTCATTTGTAGACACTAGAAGTCCATAACATATATTGGGTATACTGGAGTAGCCAAGCCAGCCACATAGAAAACCACGTTCAGATGATTTTATTCTTATAATGACATGAAAATCAGCAGAAGCCAAACAAACACTGAGATAACTAAATAATGATAACCAAAGTCACACCAGTTTAGTTTGTTCCAATATAAATAAGGAAAAATTACCCAAAATAATCCCAACTTTAACCGCTCTTTCAAAAATAATCCCAACTTTCACTGTGATGCATAATAATCCCAACTTTACTGAAATTTGCCAGTTTTGGGTTGCCGTTAAGTTTCTAACGGAAGGTTAACGAAAATGCCTGTTTTAGGCAACAAAATGAAAGTTGGGATTATTTTTGAAGAATTTTCATTTTTTATTTTTTTAAATTTTTCATTTAAATTTTTTAAATTACTTTCTACCTCCATCATCATTTCCTTTTCCTTTTTTAAAGATTAGTCTTAGTTTAAAAAATAAAAATAATAGATATAAAAATGAAAAAATGAGAAATGTAATTAAAATGATACAAAAATAATAAAATAAGTAAGGTAATCAATGGAAACTAACTTGAAATTGGTAAAAGTAAAATAAAAATATACGGGTGGGTTTTAATATTTTACGCATTATACAAAGTACGGAGTATTAACATATCACTTCTTATTTTTAAGAAAAAATTATCTACAATAATTCCAACTTTACCAGACGGCTTGTTCTTTTAAAAAATAAGTAGTACATTAAAACTCCGTATATTGTGTAAAATGTTAAAACCCACCACTCCGTATATATTTATTTTATTTTTACCAGTTTCTGTTTAATTTCTATTGATTACATTATTTATTTGATTAATTTTATATGATTTTAATTGTTTTTCTCATTTTCATTATTTTTTATATCTATTTTTTTCAAAGGTAAGAATAATTTTTAAAAAAGAAAAAGAAATGGAGGTTGAAAGTAATTCAAAAAATTTAAATAAAAATTTCAAAAAAATTAAAAAACAAAAATTCATCAAAAATAATCCCAACTTTTATTTTGCTGCCTAAAACAGGCATTTCCGTTAACCCAAATTTAACGGCGACCCAAAACTGACAAATTTCAGTAAAGTTGGGATTATTATACATTACAGTGAAAGGTGAGATTATTTTTGGAAGACCAGGTAAAATTGGCATTATTTTGGATAATTTTTCCTATAAATAAACACTGAAGAGGATGTCACACACAATAAAACTACTAACACTGAGATCAGGCAGACAGATATATGCCTGCTAAATAAACAATGACTCAATCAGTCTCGCCTAATAGTAACTCCCATCCATAAGTAAGAACCGTTTCACGCAAATCGTCAGCAAACAAAGAATCACAGACCACACCCTTATCTAGGTGATTTTGAGCATTCCAACAGCAAAGTCGACCATCCTCCCCGAATGCGAGGATGTTAGACCCCACCTCTCTAAACCAAGAAATCTTATTGATTGCTGAGCCAGCTGCAGAATGGTGAAAAGTCAGCCATGGAGGCCCTCTTGGAGGAGGGCTTGGTAAACTCTTCAAGGGGAGCAAACAGCACTTCTGAATTAGGATAAACCTGCTTCATTCTGTCGTAGCACCCTTCCAACGGCTTAAACACATATCCTCCTTCCATGGTGGAATAATAGTTAAAGTAAAGAAGGACCTTCTTGCCCTTGAGCTCCGACTCATGCAACGCAAATGGAGGTCCTTGGTCGCGGAGGGCAATATTGTGAACATACATGGTCACACATTCACCATACCCTCCGGTTTAACTCGCCGTTGTAAGGAGCGACACACCAAGATGATATCTTGAGCGAATTCATCCCAAGCTTGGCATCATGGACAAAGGAGGTGAAGTCCCCAAAAAAGGGTAGAAATACCAGCACTACCTCCAACTCCAAACCTTGAGCCACGCATTGTTGGTGGACCTCGAAAAGTTCGGCCATGAACAAACCATCAATACAGAGGTACACTCCCACCAACCTCTTACAACTCAATTCCAATACAGATACCGCCACCTTGGCATTGT